TCTACGTTTTGATTATCATTCTGAATCCAATTCATAGTCTTTTTTCAGCTTTTTGTTCAAAATGTTGTTTATTTCTTTATTTTTTATTTATGAAACTTATCCACATTCAAGTGTTTAAAAAAAGAGTGCATGAAGCTAGAATAAAACGTTTTTGTTTACAAGCAGATACTCTGTTCTTTTGATGTTTTGTATGTTCAGATATTCATGTAACAATATATATACAAATTAATACCTAAATAGGGACATAGTAGTACTTAAAGGATGATGTAAAGTTCACTTAAAGAAACTTACGAGTATACTTGTAGTATAAAACTACTAAACTAGTACTTTACTGAGACTATACTTCAAAGTGTACTAAAAACCTACTACAACTATTTCATTAGTAAACTATCAGTAGTTCACTTTTAGTATAGTTGCAGTACAAACTAAACATTTTGATGTAAACTAGTTGTGTACTCAAAGTTTACTACTGTTATACTTAAAGTATATTTTTATATACTAGAAAGTGGGCCAATTTAGTGCCTCAAAATGCAAAAGCAGCACTAAATATCAGGACAGTGACATTTTTCAAGTCGAACACGCCTATTATTGAACAATTGCAAACAGCAGTTAACTTAATTCACGTGACGTATGTACTGCTAGGTATCTTTGGTTTCCTCTTTTTGTCTAATTTAGATGGAAAATGTTTGCCTTTTTATCGTTTGAGTCACTTATCAAAAGTTGCTAAAAGTTGCCAAATAAATAAAACAAAATAGCTAAATTTGTTGCTAGGTGCTTTTGGAAGAAAAAGTTGCTAGGGTAATCTGAAAAGTTGCTAAATCTAGCAACAAAATTGCTAAATTGGCAACACTGAATGCATTACAATATTGCATTACTCCCTAAAAAGTAACTGATTACGTTACTTAGTTACTTTTTATGGAAAGTAATGCGTTATATTACTTTTGCATTACTTTCGCGTTACTTTTTAAAATATGAGCAGGGCTTGATTGTTTTTAATATAAGAAGTTCTATTTATAGCAAATGTAAAAGCCCTTTCACACCAAACTAGTTGTGTACTCAAAGTTTACTACTGTTATACTTAAAGTATACTTAAAAGTATACTTTTATATACTAGAAAGTGGGCCAATTTAGTCCCAAGGAGTATTGAAGTAGTACACTTACTACTAGTACACTGATATTTGTATACTTACTACATAAAGTATACTTAAATATACTTGATCTTTACTTAAGTATACTTACTAAAATAAACTTGAAGTATACTACTTTTTGGTAAGGGATATAGCATCACTTGAAATTTTTGAGCATGTGCCTCAAAATGCAAAAGCAGCACTAAAGATCAGGACAGTGAAATTTACACTATTACTAAATGTGGAAAAAGGGAAGTGGAAGATGTGAGTAAGCCGTGATGGCGAAGGAATTAACGAACTGTACTATGGTGAAGGGGATGAGAAAACGCAACTGCTGACGTAAGAAAGTGGGCGGTGTCTTCTACGGTGGCTCATGAATATTAATTAGGGGACGCACAGGTTTAAAGATGACGCAATAGATATTCATCACGGTTTGTGACGGCTGGTGGCGGTGACTCAAAGTAAAAGACAACATAGACCACTATCACAAGTGACAGACAGCCACAAGCAGGAAACTCCAGCGTTCGAGGACCACGTAAAACTAAATCAGAGCTGATTAAAGAGCAAAAAGACAAACAAAGCAAAGAAGAAAACTACAATAAGGTTAGGTTTTTGAACATGTCTGGAGCGGAGTTTCTGTACACCATACCCGCGTCTGTTATGAGTGACTTTACCCGATTTATGGACTCACTTTCACACTTAGACTGGATATTATTCGGTAAGGATTATGCATTTATGTTTAGTTTTTGATTAGGATGATGTTGTAGTCATTTATTTAAATCTGAACTCGAACCCCGGAGGATGTGTTGATTAGCACACTCGCTAGCTCGCTTAGCCGTCTGAGGGGGAGGTCAGAAGTCAAGTTTTTGATCAATTCGTGAAATGTTTATTTCTTACAGTCATGGTTTATTTGCTTAGTTTAGCTGTGAGTCAAGTTTGTACATCTCTGTGAAGTTATGAATGTGTTTGAGGTAACTACAATGTTTCGCTAAATGTCAGGATTGTTGCCCTGGTCTCATGATCGATGGAGTAAATAAAGGGGTACATAATTAGTAATGTTTTAAAAAAGTTAACAACGGACGTGGATCACTGGGGTTGTGTTTTGTGTCCGTTGATTCAGGTGAGATGCTGAAATTGAATCCATCACATTGCTAAATCACACCAGATTGGAAATGAGTTTAGATAGGATGGTATTTGTTAGCCAGTGTTGTCCTTTTATCCAGGTAGCAAGCTAGAACTTTCTACACAGTCACAATCAGTGTTGGGGAGCGTTACTTTGAAAAGTAATGCATTCAGTGTTGCCAACTAATTTTCTTGGGAAGTTGCTAAAGGAAGGTCGATTTGTTGCTAAATTATGTTGTGATGTCATTGCGCGATGACGTCATCACGTAATCAAGATGAAATCACACCAGATTGGAAATGAGTTTAGATAGGATGGTATTTGTTAGCCAGTGTTGTCCTTTTATCCAGGTAGCAAGCTAGAACTTTCTACACAGTCACAATCAGTGTTGGGGAGCGTTACTTTGAAAAGTAATGCATTCAGTGTTGCCAACTAATTTTCTTGGGAAGTTGCTAAAGGAAGGTCGATTTGTTGCTAAATTATGTTGTGATGTCATTGCGCGATGACGTCATCACGTAATCAAGATGCAAAATTGTGTCACTGCATCAAATCTCAGCAAAAAAATATATTTTGTTAATTTTGATTTGTTCGTTCAATAATATCAATGCATAATATAATAATATAACTATTTTTAAATACAATATTGAATTATTGAACGTACACATTTTTGAACAATTACAATTTAAGTTTTTTTTAATTAACATATTATATTTTTTTTATTGGCTATTTTTTTTAAAGTTTTTTTATTAAACTAGTAAAACTACACATTCTGAACAACACTGGTTTAAGCAGTGTATTAGTAGTTTGTTAGTATGCTACACTACAGACACAGAAATGTCTGTAAAAATAGTCTACTGTATGAAGGAATTTTCCATATTGATTTTTCACAGGTTTTTTTACATGCATTTTAAATTATGCATTGTATTTTGTGTTTTCGGGTTACAACGGATAATGGATAACGGATAAATTCCTGGAAAATTACTACCTTTTCCATTTTTCTAGATCAACTAACTGATCAACAATCACAGGTACAAGCTACTAACAAGGTGCATCACATCACGTGAATTAAGTTAACTGCTGTTTGCAATTGTTCAATAATAATTAGGCGTGTTCGACTTGAAGCGGCGCTGCGCAGACCGATCGGTGTATGACATCAAAGCACTGCGAGAGCGATTTAAAATCCTGCAGATCCGTCTGCTCTCTATTAGCTCTCACGGATACATTTGTGTTATTTAACATATTTAATTATTGCAGGTTTGCATTTGACCGTTTTAATTCATTTTGATGAATACTAAATCTGTTTTTTTGTGAGTGGGATGAATTAATGCACATTCACATTTAGTCTGGAACTACAGTAACATCATGTTCACACAGCGCACACAACTCCTCTGCACTTACGATTTCTCCCAATATGGGGACAGGAGAGCTGTCAGTCAATAAATGGGAAAACAAAGTAACTGGCATTACTTTTTTGAAAAAGTAACTCCGATATTTTCTTGTAAATTAAAAAAGTAATGCGTTACTTTACTAGTTACTTGAAAAAAGTAATCTGATTACGTAACTCACGTTACTTGTAATGAGTTACCCCCAACACTGGTCATAATAATGATTCTTCATGAAGTTTTGGCATGAATGATTCTCTTACACTATTGGAACCAAGTCCCAATGTTCACTGCAGCTTCACAGGTAATATCGGACCAGACCGAACTACGCCTTTTGGAGCAAAGCCCCAGACGGACAGACGACCTCATGCACAAATGGGGCTGTCGCAACGGGACGGTTGGAGAACTGCTGAAGATTCTTGAGGGCTTGCAATGGTTTAGGGCCCGTGATATCATCCTTAAATGTATGTATGCTTTCTATATCATTGTGTCTTGTCATTTGCTTGTTTCTGTTGTCTCTACCACATCTGATGCCCTAACCAGCAAGGTTGTCAGGTGGGTTTTGTGGCTGTCATGAAACTCACATGATAGTCTTGATTTAGGCACTTTATTGACAGGCAACACATTTAAGTTATGAAGAAACCCAATGCTGTCAGGTGTGACAGTTTTCTGCTGTGATCACACATGCTTATTTGTCTTAGTTTCTGTTCTCTGATCACTAGATAGGCTGTAGGCATTACAGCTACAACTGATTACATCCTCCTCTGACAGCTACTGAAAAAAAAATCAACAACAAATAATTAGTTATATAGTTATTTAATCTTAAACAGTCCAAATTGACCGTATTTGCTTTGTTAAAACATCTTTCTGTTTCATTTTGCAGGATTTATCAGTGCATGTTATTTCAAAGAAATAAACTGTCCCAATAGTCTTTCATCAAAATACAACTACTTGCATATATAATGCAGATAAATTTGCTATATTGGCTCATTTAGTTATAGCAATTGAGGTTGAAATGACAGTTTTTAATGCAATATTTGCTTGAGATTCACTACTTTGTTGTTGTTGTTTTTTTTTAAACAAATGTTGTATTATTCATTGACATGGCTAACAGTATATATTGGAACTGACATAAGGGAGAGGCATAAGGCAGTACTTTTGTTGGTCTACTAAACTTGCACTGTTATTGGCAAATGGCAGGTAATCTCAAAAAGGCCAAATATCTGCCAGTAAAGCTTAGTCTTGTATATCAGACTGTCATCAGTAATCATATTAGATCAATGCTGTCATTGTTAACTAAAACTAATAAGTGTAAAAAATCTGGTAATTTAAATAAATCAGAAATAAAATATATTTTAGATTAAAACTTAAATAAAAAACAACTTAGAAATGTTGCCTTGTTTCCAAAATAAGTTACAATTGAAGTGCTAAAACTTAAATAAAAATTAGAAAGAAATTATAATATAGAAAAAACAAAGATTATATATTTGTGTATGTATGTGTGTGTGTGTGTGTGTATATATATATATATATATATATATATATATATATATATATATATATATATATATATATATAATAACAAAAGCATATAACAAATTACTGAAACTAAAATTCTAAATATGTAAATATAAATAATATAAAAAAGCCAATTCAAAATTAATGAATGCTAAAATAGTATATAAATAATACTAAAATACATATGTATTAGAGAAGTGTCCATTAAACATAGAAAAGGTGTGTACTACTAACTGATATATTTCAGTTTTATGATTTAGTTTTGTGCAGACACTGCATGCCATTATACTTAGATAATAAATCCATTAATGTACTTTTGTATGCATTTCCACAGGCAGACATATACCGCAGTTTCGTTCAGAGCAGCCTTCAACAGTGCCACCAGTCCCTGCATGTCAAAGCAGTACAGTTACCTTTGTCAAAGAGTCTCACCCTGTCCCCGGTAACGTTTTATTCTAAGTACAGTGCTTGCATCTGTCGAACATGATGATATTCTTTTTAAAAATGCAAGTTGACTGCCTCTAATCAGAACATCCATGGTAAAAATGGTCATTTTGCTTTTCCAGAAGTCAGGCCTCTACCCAAGCCTAGCCCCCCACCGCCTGATCTGGACTCTATGAATTCAAGAATCTCAAATATAGAGGTGCTTCATTTGATTTAAAAAAAGAAATTCAGCCATTAAAACAACTAATAGAAAATACTTGATAGGTTGACCGTTCATTGTTTTTATTGTGCTGGTGAGGCATTAGTCAGGATGACTCTTCCTTTAGCCATCATGTTTTTCTTTCTTTCAGTCTCTTAATCCACTGACACATTTGTGCCTGTGTGAGAACCGCGTGGATCCCCCGCCTTTTTCCTCCACTGCGATGAACTGGCCGTTTGAGGAAGTACAGAGATGCACATGCAACTTTTCCCCATGCAATCAGATTGGAGAAGGAGGTTTCGGACACGTGTATAAAGCTGTGATGAGAAACACAGAGTTTGCTGTGAAGAAACTGAAAGAAGTATTAGAACAGAACTAACAAAACAAACAAATATGATTTTGATTGTTCTGATGAGTCATTCAGTTTGTTTCCTAAGCGTCCATCTTTTTTCTCTCTCTCTTTCGTGTGGGTGTTCGGAGCAGGACTCCCATTTGGACTGGAATGTCGTGAAGGAAAGTTTCAGGACGGAAGTAGAAAAACTGTCACGGTAAGAAACTGTCTGTCCATCCTCTGTTCCTTTGGCTTATGCTTCCTGTTCTCGGGCTCTATATCTGTCTTTCCTGTTTTGTCTTAAAAGAATAGTTCACCCAAAAATCAAGATTTGCTGAAAATGTACTGACCCTCAGGTTATCCAAGATGTAGATGAGTTTGTTTCTTCATCGAAACAGATTTGGAGAAATTAAGCATTACGTCATTTGCTCACCAATGAATCCTCTGCAGTGAATGGGTGCCGTCAGAATGAGAGTCCAAACAGCTGATAAAAACATCACAATAATCTACAAGTAATCCACACCACTCCATTCCATCAGTTAATGTCTTGTGAAGTGAAAAGATGCGTGTTTGTAAGAAACAAATCCATCAAGATGTTTTTGAGTTCAAACCCTTGCTAAAATCCAAGCCCTCTATCCATAATATTGCCTACTCCAGTGAAAAATTGTCTGAATCAGGAGAGAAATATGCACAGATCAAGCACCGTTTCCAAGTGAAAACTGTCCAAAACGAATAAAAATAAGAAGCAGCACAACTGTTTTTAACATTGATATTAATAAGAAATTTTCTTTAGTGGCAAATCAGCATATTAGAATGATTTCTGAAGGATCATGTGACACTGAAGACTGGAGTAATGATTCGGAAAATTCATAGTTTAAAAAAAAATCATAATATTACTGTTTTTACTGTATTTTTTCATCAAATAAATGCAGCCTTGGTGAGCATAAGAGGCTTTTAAAAAAATACGAAGAAAAAAAATCTTACCGGTCCTAAACTTTAGAATGGTAAAGTCTCTAGGCTCATTGCTGGACTCTTTGAATCAGCAGCATTTGATAGGGATTAACATGAATGCTTGGGAGGGACAGCAATAATCAATCATGAATATGCAATCGTGTATTTTTTAATTTTTAAAATTGTGATTAATTAAAATGAGAAACATGAAGTCACTAACCAACCAACTAGTCACTAATTTTAGATGAATTTTGGTGTGTGCATCTTTGAAATCACATCACACATTACTGAAAGTTTTCTCTCCTAAAAACCCAAACGCCAGTCCCAGCTTCTGACAATCACACTGCTGTTACATAAATTGTAGGAATCATATTGCCCCAAATGACCTCACAACTACATCTCTCAGGACCTCAGATGGAATTAAAGTCCTTGCAAAGTCAATATTATGTATGTGTTCGGAGTTTCTCACACCACAGAAAAGTGTATTAACCACTCAGCCAAATTTGAATGATAAAAAAATCTTCTAAGTACACAAGTTGACTACAATGACTGCGCACTGTGTAAACAATGAGTGACATACAGTGGGGCAAAAAAGTATTTAGTCAGCCACCAATTGTGCAAGTTCTCCCACTTAAAAAGATGAGAGAGGCCTGTAATTTTCATCATAGGTATACCTCAACTATGAGAGACAAAATGAGAAAAAAAATCCAGAAAATCACATTGTAGGATTTTTAAAGAATTAATTGGTAAAGTCCTCGGTAAAATAAGTATTTGGTCACCTACAAACAAGCAAGATTTCTGGCCCTCACAGACCTGTAACTTCTTCTTTAAGAGGCTCCTCTGTCCTCCACTCATTACCTGTATTAATGGCATCTGTTTGAACTCAATTCTTTAAAAATCCTACAATGTGATTTTCTGGATTTTTTTTCCTCATTTTGTCTCTCATAGTTGAGGTATACCTATGATGAAAATTACAGGCCTCTCTCATCTTTTTAAGTGGGAGAACTTGCACAATTGGTGGCTGACTAAATACTTTTTTCCCCCACTGTATACGCGCGAGAGATCACTTCCGGGCACTTGCGTAAACTACGCCAGAGCGCGTACACACCTCACGCACCGGATGCCGTGCGCGCGCTCAAAGACAGTTGGACATAGTGGTGTATTAGAGGTAAAAAATTATATAAATACTGTTTGGTTTCTGGCACAAACCGATCGTTTCGTGTCTTAGGACATCAATGTGTCGTCACGAGCCGCAGAGTTTAATTTGGATTTGTCTGTGCATGTTTTTTTTTTACTCTCATAGATTTTGTTACCATTGCCATGCATTATACGACTGATAGACTGCAATGGTTAAAGTTAAAAATCATAATTTGTGTTCTACTGAAGAAACAAAATCACCTACATCTTGGATGCCCTGGGTGTAAGCAGATAAACATCAAATTTTCATTTTTGGGTGAACTATCCCTTTAACTGTCAAATACTGCTACAGCCTGAATGGATGCTCCTGGCAGCTTAATTGGATTTACACAGACATTCACGTTTGAGCCTCCAGAGCCAGAATCCAATTCAGAGGACCGGCTACCTGAGAATCTACCTCGTCGCCATGCTCTGTGGCTCCAGTGCATCATCGAAAGTTATTATAATGTTAGGGGAGGGGCCATGATCGGTGACTCTGGTGCATCATCGACAGTTATTGTAATGTTAGGGGAGGGACCATGCTCTGTGGCTCCAGTGCATCATCGACAGTTATTATAATGTTAGGGAAGGGGCCATGATCGGTGGCTCCGGTGCATCATCGACAGTTATTGTAATGTTAGGGAAGGGGCCATGATCGGTGGCTCCGGTGCATCATCGACAGTTATTGTAATGTTAGGGGAGAAACCATGATCGGTGGCTCCTGACATCGACAGTTATTATAATGTTAGGGGAGGGGCCATGATCGGTGGCTCCAGTGCGTCATCGACAGTTATTATAATCTTAGGGGAGGGGCCATGATCAGTGGCTCCGGTGTGTCATCGACAGTTATTGTAATGTTAGGGGAGGGACCATGATCGGTGGCTCCTGACATCGACAGTTATTATAATGTTAGGGGAAGAGCCATGATCGGTGGCTCCAATGCGTCATCGACAGTTATTGTAATGTTAGGGGAGGGACCATGATCGGTGGCTCCTGACATCGACAGTTATTATAATGTTAGGGGAAGAGCCATGATCGGTGGCTCCAGTGTGTCATCGACAGTTATTGTAATGTTAGGGGAGGGACCATGATCGGTGGCTCCTGACATCGACAGTTATTATAATGTTAGGGGAAGAGCCATGATCGGTGGCTCCAGTGCGTCATCGATGTTAGGGGAGTGGCCATGATCTGTGGCTCCAGTGCGTCATCGACAGTTATTATAATGTTAGGGGAGGGGCCATGATCGGTGGCTCTGGTGCATCAACGACAGTTATTGTAATGTTAGGGGCGGGACCATGATCGGTGGCTCCTGACATCGACAGTTATTATAATGTTAGGGGAAGAGCCATGATCGGTGGCTCCAGTACGTCATTGACAGTTATTGTAATGTTAGGGGGGGGACCATGATCGGTGGCTCCTGACATCGACAGTTATTATAATGTTAGGGGAAGAGCCATGATCGGTGGCTCCTGACATCGACAGTTATTATAATGTCAGGGGAAGAGCCATGATCAGTGGCTCCAATGCGTCATCGACAGTTGTTATAATGTTAGGGGAGGGGCCATGATCGGTGGCTCCTGACATCGACAGTTATTATAATTTTAGGGGAAGAGCCATGATCAGTGGCTCCAGTGCGTCATCGACAGTTATTATAATGTTAGGGGAGGGGCCATGATCGGTGGCTCCAGTGCGTCATCGACAGTTATTATAATGTTAGGGGCGGGGCCATGATCGGTGGCTCCAGTGCGTCATCGACAGTTATTATAATGTTAGGGGCGGGGCCATGATCGGTGGCTCCAGTGCGTCATCGACAGTTATTATAATGTTAGGGGCGGGGCCATGATCGGTGGCTCCAGTGCGTCATCGACAGTTATTATAATGTTAGGGGCGGGGCCATGATCGGTGGCTCCAGTGCGTCATCGACAGTTATTATGTTAGGGGCAGGGCCATGATCGGTGGCTCCAGTGCGTCATCGAAAGTTATTATAATGTTAGGGGATGGGCCATGATCGGTGGATCCAGTGCGTCATCGTGCCACCGTTTTAGCCCCACCCAAAAAATCCTGAACACAAAATTGGTGAAAAACTGTTTAACAGTCTAACTCCACTATTCACCCATGTTAATCATTAGGGTACCAACCAGTCATGTTCCCTCTGTTACAGCTCTAACATCCTTTTAGGGAATCACTTGGAGCCCAAGCTTGGGGACTTTGGATTGGCGCGTTTATGTCTGAACCCCAACAAAACCCCAGGCAAGACGTCCACCGTGGCTAAAACGGCTACGGTCCGGGGAACTCTTGCATACCTCCCAGAAGAATACCTGAAGGATGGGCAGCTAGGAGTGGAGATCGACGTCTACAGCTTTGGAGTGGTGAGATGCAGCTCAGATGAGCAAAGCAATGAGCATCGCCCATTCCTACAGCAAAAGTTTTTCAGCTTTCCATATTTGTTAATGTAAGTTTATTTCGTATCGCAGGTCATGCTAGAGGTGCTTACTGGGCGGCAGGCTCTGGAGATCGATGGCCAATCCAGAACTGTTTACTTGGTAAGAAGAGCTGAAGTCATATTTTAGTCACATACAGTATGTTAGTGTAGAGCTAGCTGGTGGTTAAACCTGTTATTTCTCACAGAAAGATTTAGTAAAAGAGGAGGAAGACGATGGAAGAAGCTTCAGCAAAGTGAAGCACTCGCGGGAGCTGTCCTATGCTCATGCAGCAGAGAACATCTGCAGGAAACATCTGGATCCTCGACTGAAGACTAAAGACACATCTACCCCGCATGGATCAATGGAAATCTCTCAGCTGGCATGTCAGTGTTTAGACCGACGACGGAAGAAGAGACCTCGCATGACAGAAGTAGGAGAATCTATTCAAATGCATGTCACGATAAATAAAAAAATGTTTCTTTAATTTTGTTCAGTAAAAATGGTAATTACTGTTAATAATTAATACTTCGGTTCAGCAAGGATGCATAAATTAAAGACTAAAGACACATCTACCCCGCATGGATCAATGGAAATCTCTCAGCTGGCATGTCAGTGTTTAGACCGACGACGGAAGAAGAGACCTCGCATGACAGAAGTAGGAGAATCTATTCAAATGCTGTTGATGCACATGATGATTTTAGTAGCTACTCTTGTTTAAGGGATCATGTCACGATAAATAAAAAAATGTTTCTTTAATTTTGTTCAGTAAAAATGGTAAATACTGTTAATAATTAATACTTCGGTTCAGCAAGGATGCATAAATTGATCAAAAGTGTCATTAAAGACATTGATAAGGTTGCAAAAGATTTCTATTTCAAATAAAAACTGTATATCATAAAAATATTCTGACAAAAAAAGTGCCACGGTTTCCACAAAAACTATTTAGCAGCTGTTTTCAACATTGATATTATTCAGAAATGTTTCTTCAGCATATTATAAAGATTTCGGAAGGATTATATGACACACTGAAGACTGGAGTAAGGGCTGCTAAAATTCAGCTTTGCATCACAGGAATAAATTACATTTTAAAATGTATACAAATTAAAAAATGGTTAATTTGAATTGTAATTATTTCACAATGTTACTGCTTTTACTGTATGTTTGAAGTTGAACAAATAAATGTAGCCTTGGTGTGACATTAAAATTGAAAACTTTAAAATGGTAGTGTAAATATAGTATTACATTCAGAACTAAAAAGAGCATTTATTGAAGTTATTAAAGGATGGAGAAATTAAAAACAATTGCACCTGACGACAACAAACCCAGCTTTTTCACATGTGAAGGGCGTGTTTCTTAAAGGCACAGCAACTAAAAACAGATGGGTCAGAGAGCGGTCACAAAAACTAAACGGACAACAGGGAAAAAATAAGATTATTAAAAACAATAATACCCTTTTATAATATTATGTTTTAGTTAGAATTATCAGGCTTATTCTGGCTCGGTTGGTGTTTTTATAGGTGTTCAAAGCACTTCAAGATGTGCATTCAGGGTTGAAGACCTTTGGCAGATCGACCACGGTCAGAATGTCTCCCGTATCCTCTCATCCATCCACCCCTGAGCCTCTGCGCTCCGACAGCAGCTCTCTGGACTCTCTCGCCCATCAGTTCTCCAAACTCCACCCTCAAGAGAGCACGTACCCCTGCCTTCACAAGACTGTCTATCCCACCTTGACCTCTGTCGTGACTCAGTCTAGCTGCTCAGAGTCAGAGTTGAATGCTGAATCATGGGCTTCACAGTCCTCTGGCGTGCCGTGTGAATCGGATGAGAGTCAAGGCTTTTCTCAATTCTTGACAAGTCACTGTAGCAGAGCTCAGGCGACGTCATGTGGGGCCTGTGGCATTCAGAGCAGTAAAACAAATGGTTCTTTAGTGGAAAGCCCTTCACAGTCCAGTCCCAATGAAGGTAATGAGATTCTTTGTTATTAAAACGGGCAGATCATAAATAGTTAAGAGCATTTTTAAAAAATGTATGGTATTATAACTTTCTGGTTGGCCCTCTCTCATTCTCTGTCTGAATTTTTCTGAATTTACAGATTTTTCTGACCAGAAAGTGTTTATCAATCCTATGAGGCAGCAACTGGTCCAAAGAATTGAGCTTTATGAAGAGGGAAGGATTTTAACTTCTGATCTGCTGTCATCAGGCATCTCATTATGTAAGTGTCCAAATCAGCTGTAACTGGATGACATTACTGTATACTAACAAATGCATCATTCAAATGTAGCTGAAAATTACCCATATAGTATAGTCATAGATCCTGGTTATCAAGATTGCATCTGCTCCATCTTATTGCCCGTGGCCAATGTCTGTAGATTTGCTTTTAAGGCATTGCTCAAGTCACAAATTGTCAGTTTTTGCATTCAAAGTACAACTGTGGTGACAAATTCAAGGCTGAATACAAGACCCCCATCATCTAACAGGACCCAATAAGCGATAAACATATTTTTTGTCATATCTGTCATTTGTATGTATTGTCAGTATTTAGGGCTGGGCGATTTTTCAGATTTTATCGCTGAATTTGAATTGAATGTTTTGCCACAATTTTTTTTTTTTTTTATAAATCGAGGAATCATGATTTTGAATAGAAATATTACCAAACGTTTGAATTAGACACTTTGACAATATGCCAATGTTAACCGTAAAGAGAAAAGAATGATCCAATCGACGCACGTGATTAACCTCTCATGTGTGACGCGCTCTGTGAAGGACCATAAGTAGAATATATCACTAGGTGCCATTCACACAGAATGCGCTTTTGTGTTGACAAAGATGCGATGCGGGCAGTGGATTAGGAAAAATTGCATATAGTTCATTCCCATAGATATGGCGATTTCAAAGCAGCTCCATGTTCAAATTGTTGAATTTTACCCATTTTCAGTGGTCGAAAACCAAATGTGGTTTACTTTGCACACAGCTGATACTCACTGCATTTAAAGAGGAATGTCTGAAGAATAAATAATGTTTAAACTAGAAATGTATCTTGTTTCCTTCGATCAAAAGAATTGCATAAAACATAACTCCTGAGTAACTTGAGGTACAATAACTTGCTCTCAAAGGCGTATTTATAATAATCTATGTTTGACTCAGTTTTAGGGATATTTGGAAGATGGGATTTTGTTCATTTTAACGGCTTCTGAAGCTACCAAGAATTCAAATACACAGTATTGTAACTACACGTTACCGCATTGACATCCCAATATCTATAATACTGAACCATATAGGGCCTTAAAAATGAAGACTCCAAAAGAAAAGTTTCATAAGAATAAAAGAATCTAAAATGACATTAAGATATCTTTAACACTTCTTAAATGAAAGGCTTGTAAACTAAGGAAATTTTTTTTTTGCATTATTTGTTCTTCAGACATTCCTCTTTAAACACAATAACGATCAGCTGTTTAAAAAGTTGTCTACATTTGGTTAATGACCTTTTGAAAATGGGCAAAATTTGGACATGGAGTTACATTGGGGTCCCAGTATCTATGGGGATAAACCATGCCTTAAAAATGAAGATTCCAAAAGAAAAGTTTGAGCATGAGAATCTAGAAGGATATTAAGATATCTTGAATACTTTTAGAGTTACAGATATGACACATTTGGAAAAATAATATTTATGGCATGCAGACAGGCGTGTTCTATGCAATTGTATTAATAATGTGTTTTTGACCACAGAAAATGTGAACAATTTACCAATTTACTTACGGAGCCGCATTAAGGTCTCCATTTATCTGGAATTGAACCATCAAGGGCCTTTAAAATGAAGATAACAAAAGGAAGGTTTGTTAAGAACCCGAACCTAAAAGATTATATTAAGATATCTTCAATGCTTCTTCAGTTACAGGCATGCAAAAAACACAAGTGCTTTTTGCCATTTTTGAACTGTCACTGTTGGCATATAATGAAACAAATTGCTAAAGTCAACAGATTTTACTAATAGACCTACCAATCTCTGTGTAAAAATCAAATAATGGTGCTGCCAGCTTTCTAAAGCCATTTTACACCCCTCTAATGTGGCTCCAAATCTCAGGTGAAAACTGTCATTTTCAAAACAAAATGTGTCAACAAAATGTCTGTGCTTGGTTGTTTGAATCAAAATAATATATTCATGCTTTTTCATTTTTTTGTAGACCGAGGGATGAATGCCGAAACAAGGGAGCCAGAAGAGAGTGATGAGTTTGCATGCGAGACATCTGGAATCAACATGCAGTCGCCTGCTGCAGTTTAGCATTGGATGTTTGGGACCCAGCAAATATGTAGTTAAAATATTACATGAAATATTCACAGATATCTTTATGGTACTTTTTTTATGGTTATGGTAGAGAAAATGCCTTGATGAATACCTCGGCCAAAGCTGCAGATTAATAAAAAGTGGTACGGATGAAGAAAGCTCTGTAGTTGTGAATCTTGACTGACAAGCCAAAGAAATATAAAAGTGCATCATTTATTGTTATACGCCTGTTGTTTTGGCGATCCAATGTCTGTCTGTTTGCTTGTTGTTTTTGGCTTAGTTCTCAGCGACATGTTTTTGTTTTTTTATGACATGGTCAAGTTTTTGGATTATGGCCAAAACACCTACATGTATGAGAGTACTATTTAACATGAATGACTAATCTGTTTCTATGGTACTAATTTGTGATTATGTTATAGAAATTGAATTAAACATTTAGCCCGTGCGATTTTCATTATGTAACAGCAATTTGACAGATTTCTACAATCAGCCCTTTACTTTTTAACTGTATACACTGTAATGTAACAACTTGAAAAATTGATATCAGATACAACTATTTAATCTGCTCCTTAGAAAGAAAGAAAAACAGTTCAGTTTGGGTCATTTATTTGTGTGAATGAAATACAACTCTTGTTTATTGGCAGTGGAGTGTATTAGAAGCATATGATATTTACATGAATTATATGATTAGCCGATTCATTATTATTCAATTTCTTTATTTCACACAGAGGCCATAAATATATGGTAGAAGATCATGTTGGAGTTACAGGAGAAATTACCACGTTAACCATGGATTCTGCTACATAATAAAAATATATTTTACATGATTTCTGTATATTCTGTAATGGGTGTCCCCCACTATGTTTAGTTATTAATGCTAAAATATCTCCAGCTTTTTTATATGTTTATTATATGGAGATCACATAAAAACAAACAAACAAAAAAACCTTCCTTTACTATGCCTTAGTAATTTATTTTTGATACTTTTCAAAAAGGGCCCAAACTTTAAACATCAATCTATTATTACAAATGTAAAACTATGATAACCTAAACACAGTGAAATAAATATTTATTGTGCCGTTAATTCCAAAATCCCAATTGTAAAGTTAAGTGTTTTTGTTCAGCAATGAGACAACAGTGTCATTGAAGGATTAACTTTAAAATGATGGACATGAAATAAAAGTTAAAGCTTTCAATTTAGAGCCTTCCAAACACTTTCAAACAAAAACATATAATAACCTAATTATTTTAGCAAACCTTTACATTCACACACGCACACACACACACATATATAAAGAAATATACTTTTAAAAGGAATGCATTATAATATTCCTTTACTATGCCTTAGTAATTTATTTTTGATACTTTTCAAAAAGGGCCCAAACTTTAAACATCAATCTATTATTACAAATGTAAAACTATGATAACCTAAACACAGTGAAATAAATATTTATTGTGCCGTTAATTCCAAAATCCCAATTGTAAAGTTAAGTGTTTTTGTTCAGCAATGAGACAACAGTGTCATTGAAGGATTAACTTTAAAATGATGGACATGAAATAAAAGTTAAAGCTTTCAATTTAGAGCCTTCCAAACAAAAACATATAATAACCTAATTATTTTAGCAAACCTTTACATTCACACACGCACACACACATATATATAAAGTAATATACTTTTAAAAGTAATGCATTATAATATTGCGTTACTCCATAAAATGTAACTAATTGCGTTACTTAGTTACTCTTTATGGAAAGTAATGATTTACGTTACTTTTTGTCTCCTGGGCTAGGCTTGCTTGTTTTTTTTTGTAATAAATAAATAAAGCATAGCACACCAATAAAATTGGCGTGAAATGAACACATTTACTTAAGCTTTCATTCATCTTCCAAACGTCTCTTATCATTCCAGCAAATTTATGGATAAAGAATCAACATTACATAAATGAATATATTATGCCTTCTGTCATCCAACAACATTCCAAACACAATATGGTTTCCAGAAAAAAAAGTAGGCAGTGATTGGACCCTTGTTTCCAAACCAATAAGTCATATCTGGCCAGAAAATATCTGAGCGCATACGATAAGAATGTGATGTTCTGCGCGGAAGCTGAATTATAGAGCGCTTGTCAAGAAGATGGCGGCTTCCGGGGCTGCATGAAAAGATGTAGAGTTAGCTATATCTACAGTGAAAGGCGCACCCAGGGTCGAAGTCGTTCTCTCGTGATTTTTAAATTAAGTTAACGAATCGGAACGAGTAAGTATTTGGTGTCAGGCAATGACAGAATCCGATTTTTTTTTTTTTGCAGCTTTCTCAATATGACTGCTAACGGTACATCCGCCATTTTTCTTGAGGGAAGCTAAGCTAAGCCAGGGACGAAACAATAACAGAAGTTACTGAACTGTGCATCTCGAATAAAAACCACACCTGCAATTTTAACAGTAAATAAACATGAGACGTGTAACATTTTTCTCTGTTGTGCCAAACGAGTATGTAGAATTTACTGTGATGCAATGAGCTGTTTTGCATGGAAGCTAACTGGCTGCCCAATGGATCTCATCGAACATTTCAGCTAACTAATGCGGCTAATAGCTAACAACATTACTTTTTAGTCTTGTCAGCGCTGTTTTGTAGGGAGAAAACTGTATTTGAAGAGTTTTATTGTATATTTGTTTATACATATGCATTCGGATCACTAAAAAGCGCTAAGCTTCATTTGGTTCCAGAGGGTGGATTGTTTGGTTTGTTTATCAAGATGGCGGCACCCAGACGAGAGAGGCATGACAAATCCTCATATCACATGAACCTAGACTAAATAAGATACCTCTATCCGCATTTATTTGAACTTTGTAAGCCTTTAACACATTTTACCGGAGGAGTTTCTTTGACGGATTAATATTATAATACGATTTCCGTAATATTAAATTCAACGAAAGACCTGATACTTTGTTCGGTTCGCCGACCATTTTTTTTTATATGTATTAATTTTTTTCCCCACTGCACATGCTTGTTCCCTTCTTGGTGTGTTTTAGATTGATTTTCTTTGTTTATATTTTTTCCAACTGCCTTTTCTGTTTATTATTATGATTTCCTTCACGCCGCCCTTTTTTTTTTTGCCTCCGCCGCCCATTTCTATTCACTAGCTTGTATGTGTTAGCTTAGCCGCTTAGCAGCTAACTAGGCGCCCGTGCTGGTAGCGTTTAGCTAGCCTCTGCAAGATGGCTGCGTACACATCCTCATCGCGCTTTTCCTTTTCTCCAAGATACATTTAACGTTAACCCCAAAAAATGCGGGTTCTCCCACTATAAGGATATTTAAGAAAAAATGCGCAGGAGCCCACCTGCACGCGACGCGGTGTATTTCGGGTTACCGTCCCTCATTTCGCCGGGAATTCGCGTTTGCTCAGCCGCCGGCGTCCGTCTCATTTACTTTCTTCTCGTGATGAAAAGCGTCTTTTGCCGCTAAAATGGCGGTTCGCGCAGATTTGAGCGGCTAACGTGCTAACCGGCCGACATTCCCCCCCCCCACGCTCTATGCTTCTCGAATTTCGACGCGCGTAAACGCTAATATTTCCTATAACGGAGTCGTTTGGTGCATTTCGGGGAGCATTTGGCCAAAAACGAGCGCGTGGAAGTCGAGCGTGTTTTGGTGACCTAGTTAACGTACGTTAGCTGGAGCGAAGCTATCTGGTACTAGCGGGCTAATCCAGTTAGCACAGAGCTTTTAACACACGAATGCTGGTGGAATCCGAACTAAAATCAGCGCTGTGCGTGGGATTTGTGTCTCGCTAGAGAAGTGGACATGGCTTCTTCGGGGACCTCGGTTCTGCAGCCGCGCTGGAAGAGGGTTTTGGGCTGGTCTGGCCCGGTTCCTCGCCCGAGACACGGACACCGAGCTGTGGCCATTAAAGAGCTGATGGTAGTATTCGGCGGAGGGAACGAAGGCATTGTGGATGAGCTACACGTCTATAACACGGGTGAGAACGTTATTATTTAGTATTAAAGGCGGTGGTGTTTGTGCATGCAGCTGTTTAATTTCTGTAGCCTTTAGCTCGCTGTGTTATTAGCCAGATTCGGTCGTTTCTGCCTCAGTCAGATTTACTATTTGCCTTTATTACAAACCCCTCTTGACAGGAGAAATAATTCATTTAATATGTAACCTTTTACACAACTCCTTTTTATTTATTAAGCAATTTCTTGACTGATTGTTTACTGGGTTAGCGCATTTAGCGGCTAGACAAAATCTGCATAAGTGATCAGCTAACTAAGTTAGCCATAAAGAATGTGCACGAAAATATAACACTTGGCAGTGTAATTCAAAACTCACATAATCATGATGTGTTTGCGCTAACATTAGTGCATTTAATTTCAGTGCATCACTTGCAGTATGTAGTGATGCATTTAGGTGCGCTGCTAGCTGATCTGTGTTTAGTTAGGTTAAGATGTTTATGGGTTGAAGTGGCAGCTAAGCAGCTACCGCTACAGCACTAGCCAAGCACCGTGGGGTCTGTCTGGCACGCCTGGAAAATGCAAAAGAGAAATGGCGGGTTATAAGAACGCTGCTTGCGTCATCACAACACACAGGCCCCGCCCACAATATTTCCCGCATTGCCATGTAAATACTTCCAGGATGAATGGAAGAGTGTAATTTGCTGTGGATAATTTTACTTGAGGTTGAATAATGTTGCTAAGTTGTGGAGTGATGAATGTTATGAAATTATAAGAGGTAGATGCACTCCAGAAAGCATTGTTTTAGTTTGATGTTGCACTGTATGCTGCTGAGTGATGATTTTTAAGATAGTGATATAAAGACGCCCTATATTTGCATATTGCTCATGGAGTCTTCTTTTGGAAACTGTTAACAGCTACACAGAACCAGGATTACTTTAGTATCATTAAGATGCTATTATAGTATTTGTATATTAGATAATATTATAGTTTTTATTCAAATTTTGAAGTAGTGTTTAATTTTAAATGTTAACTTTGTTAGTTTTAGTAAATGTCTTGTCATATATATATATTACCGTATTGGCCCGAATATAAGATGACCCCCCTTTTTCCAGATGTACCTTTTGGAAAAAGGCTTTTTAAAAACCAAATCTTGTTTTTTTCTCTCAGTAAAACACATTTTCTCTTCAATTATTTTCACATTGCATATTTTTCCTATTTAAAATTTTTGTTTTGAAAGTATGGTAAAAACTGGTCAAATGTACCAACAATCACATTTAAAAAATATGCACTTTTTTATATACCATTTAAAAAAAAAAAAAAAACAGGGAGCTCATCTGAATTAGGACATTTAGGCTATCCATCTAATAGTAGCCCACCAAAATCTTATTAACAGTAGAAGTTAAATCTTACTGTAGTCTTCAAATCTGGGTACTGTCTTACGTTTTAAAATCACAAAGGGAGTTTGGTCCCGTCAGGCTAACGTGACAGTCACGACTCATGCAGCTGTAAGGTTTTCTTTCTCTTTTGTTTTTACTCGCGATCTTTACAACACACATTACATTACGTATTTCATGGCACACTCTTTTTATGTGTATTTGGCAGCACCTATTGTTGTGGGTGTATTATTGACATGTCAAAGTCTAGACCCTGAATATAAGACGACTGCGTTTTTTCAGATGTATTTCCAAGAAAAAACATCGTCTTATATTCGGGTCAATACGGATGTGCATCTTGTGACTCAGGCCGATACGATGCGCATCTCGATGCATAGCCTACGATACATTAAAGATACATATGAAGCAGCTACCGATGCGATACGATACGTTTCACCCCTATTACGATGCAGTGGGATCCGATTTAGATTCGATTCAACACAATGCGATTCGATGCAATACGATGCAATGGAGAAAATATGATAACTTTTCATGCCTTGAGGCCTGTTTCATAAAACAAGTTAACCAAATAAGCCAGGCTTATTTCGGTTAATCTGACTCATTGTCAAATGATTTGGTTCCATAAAGCAAATTTAACATAGGCCTAGATCAAGCTTAGTCACTGTGGCAACTTATGCTGGGAAACTAACCTGGCCTAAAGCAGGCTAATGGCGCTTTTCCACTGCACGGTACGGCTCAGTACGGTTCACTTTTGGGGGGTTTTCCACTGGGTAAAGTACCTGGTACCTGGTACTTTTTTTTAGTACCACCTCGGTTGGGGTTTCAAGTGAACCGTACCGTTACCAAAACGTGACGTGTAAACTCTGCTGATCACGGATTGGTCGGAGAGAATCGTCACAACCTGCATCAATGGACTTGCAACACAAATTTAAATTTAAATCAGCACAGCCAGCGAAGGATCGAATGCAACTGTTTTGAACAAGAGCACCTTTTTTAACAACCAAAAAGTGGTTTCGTTGTCTGTTGAAGTACAGACATTCCTCTCGTTGATAGCAGAGGAGTGGATCCAGCGAGAGCTTGATGGGGCGACGCGGAATGAAAACGTTTTGTAGGAGTCGCGGCAATAGAGGCGGCGCAACTACTGTCAGGCTAGTTACTGCTATCATAAAAATACACTTTATATGTAGGTTTAAAATTCTGCAAAAGACACATTTAATGTCCAAAAACAGTTTTTTTTTTGCAAAATGTATATTTTACTCAGAATTATTGCACTCCTATTTGATTGCGCTCTGTCTGTTTAGCGCGCAGCAGCGCTCGTTCGCTCACATCAGCCCACTATACTGACAGCAAAATGGATATGTTTGCATGACTTTCTAACATTTACAGATAAAAAATATACTTGTTACATCATGTCAGTTATGCACTGAGGAAAACACAACGTCTCAAATGCATTACACAGCACAGATATATTCGCTGTTTGTCATGGTGGATCGATTTGCTCCATGATCGACATTAAGGTCTGCTTAAGAATAAGCGTGCACAAATTAGTGAGATTGTGTGAATTTAATTTGTCGTTAATGGAACCGCTTTAGCCCTGATTGATTTGTTAGGTTATTTCAAGTCAGGTTTTGGATTTTAATCCCAGTTTTTCATCAGGTCTCTGTGGTGTTGTGATGCATCATATTCACGCAGCAGCAGCGCTGATGAGAGCGCGCGCTTGAGAAACAGTTTAGAGAGGAGAAATCAATCTACATATAAAATATTGGTCACAGATTATTGGTCACTTTCTAAATAATAAAAGTATAGCGCATCCAATTAAATATAAATTAATCGTTTTTTACCGATGCAAATATACTAGAAACGATGCATTGCAATATAAATGACAACTTGTAGCCGATGCACACTTTTTAAATCTCCTCCTTTGTCTTCTTCAGTCAGCTGTACTTTCAAGATTTCTATAATACATATATTTCCACATGAAAGATTCATAAAAACAAAACATTTCACGTGTATCCTATGTCTTAACACGTTGTACAAGCATGAAGACCAAGAAATACTGGCAGCAATTTATGAATGTAATTACTTTGCAAATTTCATTTTATATATATATATATATTATTATTTTTTTGCTAGAGGTTTATTTATATTTTAGTTAGTTACTTTAGAGCAGGGGTGTCAAACTCAATTCCTGGTGGGCCGGAGCCCTGCAGAGTTTTGTTTCAACCCTGCTCCAACACATACCATGTAGTTTTCAAATAAGCCTGAAGGACTAGATTAGTTGGAGCAGGTGTTTAATTAGGGTTGAATCTAAACTCTGCGGGGCTCCGGCCCTCCAGGAATTGAGTTTGACACCCCTGATGTAGACCATCAAATTGTTTTATTAATATTATTTGAGCTAATTGGCAATGCAGCATTTATTTTAAAATAAAATATTTAATTCCACAAACCTTTAAAAATTTAGCAAATCCAGCTATTAGATCCTCTGGAGTGTGCATTTGTAGCCTTCATAAAAATGCACGTTTATAACAATTTCTTTATTTGTGGAAAAATACTATAATAGGGTTACAGAGAGAGATGCACCGATCTTGGCCGATTCCCGATTTTTTGTTAGTGTGATCTGCCGATACCGATTTTTGCCGATTCCGATTTTCTTTCTAAGAACTATAATTGACAGCATATACAAACAAAAATCTACTTTTCTTCAATGCAAAGTTTTATTTTCATTAAAAAAACACAAGTAAAAAGTCAGTAATAAAATAAGAACAAATAAAACAACAGCACAAATAAATGCAATAGAAGAGAGCTATGAAACTACGTTTTTCAGGTTAAGTAAGTGTTTATTCAGGTAAGAAATACTACAGAAATTAAAGTAATCAAATGACGTTTGATTACTTTAATTTCTGTAGTCTTCATTGTAAAAATTAAATACAGATTAATGCTTACCATTGAAGTTATAAAACGTATTCAGTCAAGAGCAGAAAGTGATTTTCTTTGTCTTTTGTTCTTTGATTAACATGACAGACAGCAGCAGGAATATTGGACTGCGGTCCCTTTAAGAGTTTATCCACAGACCCAATGTACTTACACAACATGCGTTCTCTTTCTCAACTATTTAACGTTCCAAAACTGACTGTGTTTAACTGGATACTCGCCAAGACGGGCATTTGACATAATTTTGTATGTATTTGACTGTTTTAGCGCAGTTAGACACTAATTTTGGTATTTGTGGCTCTCAAGCTGTTTGAGACTGAGCGCGGCTTGTGCGATCCACTAATATAGATCAGTGATGGTGCGTGTGCATTTGGTGTAAGCGCGAAACATGCGGGAATGACTAAAATAATGCGCAATGCAAGCACTATTTAACCGGAGCGAATGAGATGTGTGTGTGTGTGTGTGAGAGAGAAGGGGTCGTCGGAGAGAAGAGCGCGAGAATGCGCGGCTGATGTTATTGCCTGTGCTGCTGGTAACAAAATGGATCGCCTCGGAATCTGAAAGAAGTGAGACTGACCGGCCGGTCACCGATCCGGGCCGATCATGAGGAAAATCGGCCGATTCCGATCCCTGGCCGATCGATCGGTGCATCTCTAGTTACAGACTCAAGAAGTTGCTATCAAAAGTACAAATGTTTATCTAAAAGTTGTTTATTTTTTTTATTCAAATTATTATTATTTTTTTCATATTGATTCTTTATTTTAAAATCATTATTTAAAAAAATATTTATTATTAATTAGTAAATATGTAAAAAAAAAAAAAAAAAAAAAACTAACTAGTTTATTTTATATATTTATATTTCACTTAGTATATCAAGTTAAACTAAATGAAAACGAGAAATGTTGCCTTGGCGATTACCTGAATTAAAATAAGTTTTAAGTGTTTTTTTAAAGTCGTATTCTATATTTTAGTAATTTCAAGCAACATCATATTTTTTATGCTTCTAGTTAACTATAATTACCTTGTTCTGCACAGAATAAAAGAACATGGTGCATTGCAACACAGCACAGAAAGAGATTTATTCATCAAAACCACAATGACACAACTATGTGTTTCTCAACAGCCACCAATCAGTGGTTTATTCCTGCTGTCCGGGGTGACATTCCTCCCGGCTGTGCCGCATATGGATTTGTGTGCGATGGCACAAGACTCCTTGTGTTCGGGGGCATGGTTGAGTACGGAAAGTACAGCAATGATCTTTATGAACTACAGGTAAGTCTGTCAGCATTATCTTAAAAGTGCCCCTATTATGCCATTATTGCCTTTCATGCAGTGTGTAATGTAGCTGTATGTGAATTGGGGCTGGACAATAATTCAATATCAATATGTATAGCGATATAATTTTTTTTCAATAAAGGTGATATGATTTTTAAACACATTTCCGATATTTCGATATACATTACCAGTGTTTCCCATACATTAATTTATTTGTAGTGTTCGACTTTGTTGAATAAACATGAACTCTACACGTTTCAAAATCAAAACGCGTTGTGGGTGTTTTATATTAATGTATCTCTGAAGGGACTGTCTTCAGAATAGTTTCTGATAAAGAAGCGTTCATGAGCGGAGCTGATTTGATTACAGCCATTACTGGAGAAACCGCTAGTTCTACTGCTCTCAAAGCGCCTCCTGCTGGCAGACAATCAGATTGCATTTTCAATAAGCCCGTCTCCAGCAGCATGTTTTTGTTGTTGCTCTTTTTTTTTTTTTTTTTCTGCAGCAGCTCGGAGCGCTTTTCATACTCTTTATACTGGCTAAAGCACGTTTGTTTCAATCTATAAGAATAATCAGCCTACACTACCAGTCAAAAGTTTTTGAACAGTAAGATTTTTAATGTTTTTTTATTTTTATTTTTTTAATGTCAGGATTCTTTGATGAATAGAAAGATACAAAGATCAGCATTTATCTGAAATAAAAAGCTTTTGTAACATTATACACTATTCCATTCAAAAGCTTGGAGTCAGTATGATTTTTTTTTTTTTGAAGAAATTATAGAAATTAATACTTTTATTTAGCAAGGATGCTTTAAATTGATCAAAAGTGATGATAAAGACATTTATAATGTTACAAAAATTTCTATTTCAGATAAATGCTGTTCTTCTGAACTTTCTATTCAGCAAAGAAACCTGAAAAAATTATACTCCACTGTTTTCAACATAATAATAAATGATTTTTGAGCAGCAAATCAGAATATTAGAATGATTTCTGAAGGATCATGTGACTGGAGTAATGATGCTAAAAATATAGCTTTGAAATCGCAGGAATAAATTACATTTTAAAATATTTTCAAGTTATTTTAAATAGTAAAAATATTTCAAAATGTTACTGTTTTTGCTGTATTTTGGATCAAATAAATGCAGGCTTGTTGAGCAGAAGAGATTTCTTTAAAAACATGAAATATCTTACTGTTCAGTCTGTTCAAAAACTTTTGACTGGTAGTGTATGTTAGCCTAGTTTGAAGTTAAAGATATTAATATTAATTAGGTGAGTCTGAGACGATTATTTGACAGTGATTTCACATTTCTTGTTTGTATGAAGGCTAAATACAAATAAAAGGTGAATATTAATTTATTTGTGCTGCTTTTTCCCCTTAAATATTATATGGTTTTAAATGAGGTGTCATAGACTTGGCAAATACATTTTTCATAAGTTTGTATGCACAGACATCTGTTGTGGACATTCTTGGCAGTTTTTACCAGGCTTTTTTTTAATAGTGTTTATATATTGATATGGGAATTATATCGTATCGACTGAAATTAAGAAATATATCGTGTTATAAATCTTGGCCATATCGTCCAGCCCTAATGTGAATGTAAACGAACTGCAAAGTTATAAAGCTGAAAGTCCACGATAAATAAAATAATTGTCTCCCAAAATTAAGAAAGTTGACTCTGTACAGCCTAAGCGAGTCGTTAGTAATTGAAATCCTACTTCCGTGATGGCTACACATCACGGGGTAACACATTTGCATAATATTCTACGTTGGCCGGCCGCGAAAACTTGACCCCGCCCACAAACACGTCATTGTACAGCAGACATTGTACACGTCTGCTTCTCTAATCTCGGGGAGTTTAACGCTGGATTCACAAAACGCTGGCTGTTGAAAGATGGTTTATTTGGACCAGCTGGCTCCACTGAATCATAACCTGTAATTTTGATCAATAATAGATGTTTATTTTCTATCGAGCGTTCAAAATATGGAACTATGGCAATGGCGTATTGTTTCAGACACTGGCTGTACGCAGTAGACCAATCACAACCGACTGGGCCATCTGACCAATCAGAGCAGAGTAGGCTCACAGAAAGGAGGGGTTTGGAGAGACTGAATCTTAGAACTGCTTCGAACGAATCGGTTTGAGAATCACTGGAAAATGAGGTGATATTAAATGCATATTTTGAGGGGGAAAAAAGTGTTTGACCTTGCATGCATGTAATTCAATTGTAGGAGACTCCCAAAACAATATTAGGAACCTTAAAAAGGGCATACGGGGGCACTTATAGGTTGACTGTTGTTTTTTTCATAGTATCATGTAATAATTCATTAATTTCTGTTAAATACTTCAAACAGGCCAGTAGATGGGAGTGGAAACGTTTGAAGCCCAAAGCCCCCAAGAATGGCCCACCGCCATGTCCTCGCCTGGGCCACAGCTTTTCCCTGGTTGGAAACAAATGCTATTTGTTTGGTGGATTGGCAAATGACAGTGAGGATCCCAAAAACAATATTCCCAGGTAAAAAGCCTTAAATGGTTAATGCTCAAATTAATTCTTAAATGTTTGAGCAGCCGATCCGCAATTAAATTGTTTCTCCATTTGTACCTCAGATACCTGAATGACCTCTACACTCTCGAGCTTCGCCCGGGGTCTAACGTAGCAGGCTGGGACATCCCCATTACATACGGTGTGCTTCCCCCTCCTCGTGAGAGCCACACTGCTGTTGTCTACACAGAGAAAACGTCCAAAAAGTCTCATCTCATCATCTATGGCGGCATGAGTGGCTGCCGTCTTGGAGACCTCTGGACTTTAGACATAGGTGAGAGAAAGTATTGGCTTAAAATATTTGTTCAAGAAATGTCCATGCTATAACGTTGAATAACATGATGCTAAAAATGAAACTAAATCCACCAGCAGGTGGTGGCAAGTCACTGATTTTATCACTGAGTCATTCATTCAATTGATTCGTGCGAATGGCAGAATCATTCAGGAATGAAGCAAGTGACTGTCTTTATGAACTGACGGAAATCCGTCGTAGCGACGATTTAAACACTTTAATCCCTGTAAAAAGCGCGTTATATCTATTATCGGCTTTATATTGAATATCGGTGTCTGCGTCAGCCATTAAAAAAAATCTGTATTGGTTTACCACTTAAACAAATCTTTGTCTTAATGATCTTTTATCAAATGTAAAGCTTGCACATCTCTGAAACAGGTTTCCTTTTTGGAAGTGGATAAAATTAAAGATAGCCCCACAGTTTTTAATTTTATAGTAATCACAAAAATAAAATGTTGAACCATGTTGACCTAATTAGTTGTCTAGCTAGTGTGGATTTGACTAACTTTGGTCTCATATTTTCCTAGGATGTTTGTGTTTGGTGGCTGGGTTCCTCTGGTCATGGATGATGTCAAAGTAGCGACACACGAGAAGGAATGGAAGTGCACTAACACACTGGCCTGCTTAAATCTAGGTAGGTTAAACAAAGAAGCAGAACAGAGCTTATATGTTTAACACTGCTGATCTTAACCTTTATTTCCTTCAGACTCAATGTCTTGGGAGACCATCTTGATGGACACGCTCGAGGATAATATCCCAAGGGCCAGAGCTGGACACTGCACTGTGGCTATAAACAATAGACTGTACGCCTGGAGTGGAAGAGACGGCTACCGCAAAGCCTGGAACAACCAAGTTTGCTGCAAAGATCTGTGGTATTTGGAAACAGGTGAGTTGAACTGATACCTCAGTGTAAAAGAAGCTTTAATACACTTACCCCATTACAAATACTTACATCCTCAGAAAAAGACACGCCCAATCTGTGTTTTTTTTGAAAAACGCTGGAACTATAGTATCTACACCGCAAGTTTTGTTGTTTATGTAAAGTTTAGAATATTTATCTTTTATATTTTTCAATAGTTTTCCGGCATGAATATGGCTGTAGTAGCTGGCATGGTGCTAAATTATCAACAAACAAAAATTATTACACTTTATCATAGTATTATTATTTCAGATATTTTATTATCATTATTTTATTTAAAATCTCGCCTTTCACTAACAGATCGTCCTCAGCCTCCATCACGTGTGCAGCTGGTCCGAGCCAACACCAACTCTCTGGAGGTGAGCTGGGGGGCAGTGCCTACTGCTGACACTTACCTGCTGCAGCTGCAGAAATACGACATCCCTGCTGCAACAGCTGCCACATCACCAACGGTCAACCCCACCCTGTCTGTACCCGTCAACTCGCCTAAGAGTCCGGCAACCGCTGCTGCTGCTCCAGCAGCTCAGAGCTTGCCCCTGTCTGGGGTCACAATGGTGCCACGAGTTCCTTCCCCCACCACCGCCATACCAAGCAGCCCGCTTGCAGCCTCACCTCGTGGACCAGGTACAAATGACTTTGTGGTTTTTGCAATCGGCAGACTGCAGTTTCTGTAAATAATAATATTAATAATTGTGACGTTTTCTAACCCAACTTATTCTTTTCATTCCCAGCTATTCTTAAAGTGGCAGCGCCTTATTCTTCCCCTGGCACGTCAGTCGTTACCTTGCGTCAGGCCACTCCAGGAGGAAAATCCCCAGTCACAGTTACATCACTTCCTGCAGGTGTCCGCATGGTTGTCCCTGCACAGAGTACCCAGGGGACGGTATGTAGATAATCAGTATCAGTGTAAATCTTAAATTAGGGCTGGACAATTACTTTAAATAAAAGTGAAAATGCAATTTGACTTATTGTGATAATCAAACAAGGCTGCGATTTTTATTAAATAAATATATGCACTGCTGGTTTTAGGGTGAAGTACAGCAATGTTCTTTTACAAATGCAATCTCATGATCCAGTGTGAAAATTAGGAAATTAATTGTTAATTTTGTAATTTTACAGTTAGGGCTGTCGCGATAACCGCAATATCGCAATACCGCGCTATTGACGAGCAAACTGCAGAGGAATGCAAGAACCGCAGCAATCCGTGTTTTCTTTTTTCGTAAGGTTATGCCCTTCTCGTTTTACACTTCATGCATGTGGACTGAATATTAAACAAGTTAGTAATGATAACATAATGTGTACCATGCTGAGTTGTACAGAGGCTCCGTAGATTTGCACTTAACAAGCCTAAACAGACAGAGTTTGAATGAGAGAGAGATCGACTGAGCGCCTGCGATTACTTGCATCTGTCCTCCAGGCCGAGTCATATATATTTGTGAAAATAGGTTGTCATGTCCAAGGAATGCGAAATCTCTGTCTTAGCATCGACGATTTGAGTTGAATTACTGAAATAAATGAACTTTTACACGACATTCTAATTTGAGATGCACCTGTGTGGGTGTGTGTGTGTCGATAATACCGCATACCGTGCTATTGAGCCACTCAATTACCGCAAGGGAAATTCACTCACTGCGACAGCCCTATTTACAGTAAAATATTAGTAGTAGTATTCAATATTTTATTGAATTTTTTGTAATAAAAATATTATTTTAGTAGTTTATTACATTTTATGTAAATATTTATTAAATGATTGTTTATAAAAAAAACTATTCTTAATTAAAAAAATATATAATATTAATTATATTGTTGTTAGTAGTAATAATAATAATAATAATAGCATTTTATTATATATTAAATGCATTTTTTAATGTATTCATTTAAATATTTATTACATTTTTAATTTTTTTTAGTTATATACAACAACTAAATTGTTTAGTATATAAACTTGATGTTTAGTTGTTGTTGTTGTGGTTGTTGTTGTAATGATATAAAGCCACAATATTTGTGCAGGCCTACAAACAAACACAGCCTAAAAATCTAAATGTTTATCATATACTGTATAAAATATAAATTCAATTTTTTACCCCCAATCGTTCACCCCTGTCTCAAATGTTAGTTTCCCATGTTGAATTTGCATTTAAACCCTTTGGAACACTGTTTTGGTCTCTAGCCAATTGGCAGCAGCCCTCAGATGAGTGGCATGGCTGCTTTGGCTGCAGCTGCAGCTGCCACACAGAAGATCCCACCCTCTTCCACTGTGCTAAATGTTCCAGCCGGGGCCACCATCGTGAAAACCGTCGCTGTGACTCCTGGATCCACAACTCTGCCAGCTACTGTCAAAGTAGCTTCACCCGTAATGGTAAGTGTCGTCTTGCATAACAAGACCTTTGACTAAACAATGTAAGATTTCCAGCTTATTCTGTCCGAGAACCATTCAGGCATTAGGCATCTTGGTAACACTTTACAATAAGGTTCATTAATTAACATAAGTTAACTACTTTAGTGAACATGAACTAAGAATGAAAAATACTTCTACAGCATTTATTAATCTTAGTTAATTTCAACATTTACAAATGCATTATTAAAATCAAAAGTTGTGTTGTGAATTAACATGAACTAACAATGAATGACTGTATTTTCATTAAAGTCCCCCTGTGGTCAAATATTTGATCCCTTAAAACTTATCTTTGATCATCAAAATTACAATGTTTTTTCTTGTGAAAATAATAGCTTGAATGTAACTCTACACCCTTGCCTCATTTACTATACGCAGATCTAGGAATATGCAAATTAGCCCCGCCTCCACTGTCACACCAGCCAGCGCCTCCTGATCCACTGAACTCTAGTAAATGCAAAACAATGGCATACATGGATAATGACTGATAAATCTGTGTTTTTACTAGCGGACAACTACAGTGAATACTGTAACATTCGTTAAAGTTACTTACTTGACGATGTTGTGTCCTAAAATGCCTTGAAGACTCGAATGCAGCCGTTTGGGATTCTTATTTCGAAGTGCAGAAGCCGATGCGGGAGAGGTGCGTCTGACTCTGGGCTACATTTACACTGTTGCCACGGGTTAATGCAAGTTAGCGGTTCTAAATTCACATTAAACCACGGCTTCATGGGTTTTTTGCTCTGATTTATCTTTGGTTTTGTGCTGGTATTGGTATATTTTGCATGCTAGTGATAGGAATCGATCCCTTGACGTGATTGGTTTTTGGATTGTGACGTAGCAAACCGAAGGCTGTTTCAAACCGCATTTCTGTGACTGCCCTTGGGAAACTACAGTTTTAAGGAGAAAATACTCAGCAATGGTGTTGATTAATAGATTGGCACATGGTTTGTCTAAAAGCATATTAAAAACACCACATAGACAAATAAACAGCAAAAAAAACTTGATTTTCACTACAGAGGGACTTTAACTAACATTAACGAAGATTAATAAATACTGTAATGTATTGTTCATTGTTTGCTCCTATTAGTTAATACATTAACTAACATTAACTAATGGAACCTTATTGTAAAGTGTTACCGGCATCTTTTTCATGCCTGAAGTGGATTATTATTATTAAATTGAGATGTTGTACTATAGGTTAGCAAAAAGTATTTTGGATAAAATGTCTGTCTAATGTGTTCTAAAATAATAAAATAGAATGTCTCCGCAACTTCCCTTTCTCACATCCTTCCGGACTTAAATTAACCAGATTATCCACTTCCTGTCCTGTAGCTGTTTGTGATTTAATGTCTTTGTTCCTACTTCCATTCCAGGTTACTAATCCTGCGACCCGAATGCTGAAAACAGCTGCTGCTCAGGTCGGCACTTCCGCCATCTCTTCTCCTAACACTCCGACTCGGCCGATCATCACTGTGCACAAATCAGGCACCGTAACCGTAGCCCAGCAGGCTCAGGTCGTCACCACCATGGTCGGAGGAGTCACCAAAACTATAACCCTTGTTAAGAGCCCCATTACAATGGGTGGCAGCGGTTCTCTGGTAAGAGAAAAAAAACAATAACATTGTCTGGACTTAAAATGAGTTAATAGTGACATAAATTCAAAGAAGTTTGTAATAATGGGCAATCCCAAGCATGAAGAGACTTTAAAACGGTTCTCTTTTTTGTTCTACTGTGACCTATATTAAGTGCACCAATGAGATAACCTTTCAATAAGGAATACAATGAATGATTCATTATATGACTTCTCTCATGAATTGCCCTTATGTTGGTTTGCAATTTTTTTTTATTAAGCATTTGACTTTGGTTATCTTTAAGTAATAAACCTTAACTGTTCTCAGATCTCCAGCCTTGGGAAGGTGATGTCTGTTGTCCAGACCAAACCAATACAAACCTCTGCAGTCACGGGGCAGGCTGGAAGCAGTCCTGTCACTCTTATACAAGTCAGTGTTGCTGCTCATTTTAAGCATGTACATTTCTTACCTAATCTTATGTATTCTTAACCTGTTAGTGTTCCTCTGTAACGTCCGCGGTACACTGCATGTTTTTGAGGGTTAACTTCATCACACAGTCAAGTCAAGTCACCATTATTTATATAGCGCTTTATACAATACAGATTGTGTCACAGCAGCTTTACAGTATTAAACAGGAAAATAGTATGTCGATAATGCAAAAGGACGATAGAAAACACTAAATTTTCCAGTTAAAGTCAGTTCATCATTGATTCAATGATGTCATCATCCAGCTCAGCTTAGTTCAGTTCAATCAAGTCGACAATATTGCCAGAAATTAGGTGTCCCCAACTTAGCAAGCCAAAGTCGACAGTGGCAAGGAACCAATACAACAACTCGAAAAAAGAAGAAAGAAAACATGTCACATATCTTTGGACAGCTGACATTCTTGTGATTCGAATGATGCATACTATACATTTTAATATACAATCAACACAGCAGGTACAATCAGTGTCTTTGTCAGACCACCAACAAGGCTTCATGCTGTGATCCCATTGTGTTTTCCAGCTAATAGCTCCCAGCTATAATCATCTGCAGGCATCTGCTTACAAAAAAAAAGTAGGCGGAATGTTTCCTTCCTTTTTCAGTGTGTTCAAAGTTCTATTACTCAATACCAGTAAGACTTACAGTGATTCTGAGGTTTGTTCTGTTCAGGAACAAATGTCAGAGGGTCACCTTTCAAAAGAGACCAAAAAAATCATGCATATACTCCAAATGGTTCAAGAACAGCAGGCAATTTACTTTGGGTATGCCTTTTTAGGCAAATTTTACAGGACTGCTAAGGGGTTAATATAAATTATATTGTGAATTACCTAGAATAAGTAGCTTATTGTCATTTGCACTTGTACTTGTTGTAATTTATTTCTGTGATGGCAAAGCTGAATTTTCAGCAGCCATTATTCCACTCTTCAGTGTCACATGATTCTTTAGAAATCATTCTGATTTGCTGTTCAGAAACATTTATTGTAAATTTCCCAGTACAAGTAGCGTATGTTGATTTTGTTCTTGTTTTTCATAGACAAAGACTCCTCTGCCTGCTGGTACCATCCTGAAACTGGTTACATCTGCTGATGGCAAGCCAGCCACAATCATTACAACTACACAGGCAGGAGGGACTGGCACCAAACCCACTATCCTGGGAATCAGCACAGTCTCTCCAACTACCACCAACAAACCAGGAACCACCATTATTAAAACCATTCCCATGTCTGCTATCCAACAAGGAGCAACAGGTCCATCTCACAATTGACTGTTCATCTCGTTTGTAATATCAATTTTAGTTAAATTGTATCTCACTTTTGCACTCAAGAGTGAAACCGCACAACCTCGTGTTTATATCTAACTAACAGATCAGTTTTTTTTTTATGCATCGTTGCAAGCTTACGCTATTTCCTGATGTTATTTCCGGTCTCATTACTAGGTCTGACTAGCAGTCCTGGCGTCAAGTCCCCCATCACAATTATCACCACTAAGGTTGTTACTCCTGGCACAGGTGCTCCGGGGAAATTCATAACAGCTGTGCCAAAGCTGACAGCAGGTGCAGGACAACAGGGGGTCACACAGGTGAGGCCCAGTTGAATTCTGAAACCACAGTCACAGCATAAACATGCATCGTTTTAAGCTCATCTAGTTTTGATTGAGTGTTAAGTGGTTCATGAATATTTTATTTGCTCTCAGGTGGTCCTGAAGGGGGCGCCCGGACAGCCAGGCACTATCCTGCGCACTGTGCCTATGAGTGGAGTGCGTCTGGTTTCACCAGGCACTGTCTCTGCTGGAAAACCAACTGTTACCACACTGGTTGTCAAGGGCACCACGGGTTTGAATATTCAGATTGTAAACTCTGTAGTGTAGTTTTATGCAAATTACAGAGAAGTATTTTTTTCTTGATATCATTACCTCATTAATAATGCCCTCTCTGTATTTTAGGAGTCACAACTCTGGGTACAGTAACTGGTACTGTATCGAGTAGCGTGGCAGGGGCCAATGTGGCAAGTGCTAATGCCAGCCTGGTGACTCCAGTCACCACACTTGCTTCCATTGCCACATTGTCCAGCCAGGTGATCAATCCCACAGCTATCACTGTATCTGCTGCCCAGACCAACCTCGCCACCGCTACAATACAAGTGAGTCACTTTTTTTTTTTTTAAAGGGGTCATATGATGCTTTTTTAAAGATCATTATTTTGTGTATTTGGTGTAACAGAATATGTTGACATGCTTTAATGTTCAAAAAACACATTATTTTTCAAATACTGTACATTATTGTAGGTCCTCTATGCCCCGCCTTTCTCAAACGCTTCGTTTTCTACAAAGTCCCTCCTTCCGACAAGCGCAGTCTGCGCTGATTGGCCAGCTGACTCAGTGCATTTTGATTGGCCGAACACCGCAAGCACTCGTTGGAAATGTAACGCCCCTTACCATAATCGCGAGCTTCATCTTTCAAAATAAATGTAAAGACAGAGCCCGAAAGGGGAACAGAGTCGCGTGACAGACACAGTGATGAAGCTGGTATGTGTTTGCAGTACACAAGCCACGGTTAAGACAGCTGACTCCACTGTGATGTGACCCCCCTCTCTCTCTCTCTCTTTCTCTCTCTCGCTCTCACTCTCTCGCGCGCTCTCTCTCGCTCGCTTGCTCGCGCGCACACACACACACGATGCGCAAAACTCTGCATTTGAACAGTCAATAGCAAATACTTAAAATAATAACAAAACAGTAGCTGATTCAGAAGCGCCAGATTGTCATAGCAAAGTCAGAATTACCTCCTCTCCTAGGTTCACGAAACAGTCATCCATAAAATGCATTGCTGTTCTGTTGTAAGTAATCTTAAAGATTCCTAAATGCATCTACTTTCGGAAGGCCAAATAAAGTGCTTTTGCTTTCGCCTAGAAACACACAGCGTCTCCCTGACATGGCTGCTTCAACACTAACTGCGGTTACTGAAACCACGCCTTCTTTCTTTGCGTGCACATTTGGGCGGCATTATGCTAATATTTCCACATAGTGACCTAGATATGTGGGGGGCGTGTTAGAACGAGCCGTTTAAGGGGGGAGTGGCAGAGTCTTAACTTTGATAAAGAATCTCTCTTTGGTTTTGAGACTTTAGTCTTTGCAACTTCAGGGATCTTGTCTATGCACAATCAGCTTGTAACACTCCAAAGGAAGGAAGGAAAACTTGAAATCGCATCATATGACCCCTTTAAAGAAATTAATACTATTATTCAGCCATTTATAATGTTGCAAAAGATTTCTATTTTAAATGTTTTTGAACTTTCTATTCATCAAAGAATTGTGAGAAAAAGTGTCACAATTTTCACAAAAATATTAAGCAGCACAACTATTTTCAACATGGATAATAATATGAAATGTTTCTTGAGCAGCAAATCAGCATATTAGAATGATTTTTAAAGAATCATGTGTCACTGAAGGCTGGAGTAATGATGCTGAAAATTCAGCTTTGCATCACAGGAATAAATTACATTTTAAAATATATTCAAATAGAAAATGGATATTTTAAGTAATTGTAATAATATTTTTAATTAAATTGTAATAGAATTTCACTACATATCACTTTTAGCTGCATTTCTGATCCAGTAATGATGAACATTCAAAGACATTAAATAAAAAAATAAACATCTACTGAAGTAATTATAATTTATCTAATTTTATAGTTTGTATATATTTTTAATTTGTATAAATGAACATATGTAATAATAATATTTTTATATTGTTTCATATAAATCATTATTATTTACAATTGTTTATTTATTCATTCCTTTCGGTACGTACAATTAAAAAACTTCCTAATGTTTTTTTCCCCCTCTTAGACGGCAGCCCAACCTACTCAAGTAACACTGATCACGACTCCAAGTGGTGCTGAGGCTCAGCCTGCACAGGATCTTCCTGTCTCCATCATGGCCTCTCCCACCTCAGAGCAGCCCTCCACCACTGGTGCTGATGCTGGTGACGGTGCTGGCGAAGGTGCTACCACCGTGACGCTGGTCTGTTCCAACCCTCCATGTGAGACCCATGAGACTGGAACGACCAACACGGCTACAACGGCTTCCGCCAAAATGGGCACCGAACAGATTTGTTCCAACCCTCCCTGTGAGACCCATGAGACTGGAACGACCAACACTGCTACAACGGCTTCTGCCAAAATTGGCACCAAACAGATTTGTTCCAACCCTCCCTGTGAGACCCATGAGACTGGAACGACCAACACTGCTACAACGGCTTCTGCCAAAATTGGCACCAAACAGATTTGTTCCAACCCTCCCTGTGAGATGCACGTGACGGGCACCACCAACACTGCAACCACCGCCTCTGTGAACATGGGCAGGTCACAGCAGGTCTGCACCAACCCACCCTCAGAGACCCATGATACGGGCACCACCAACACAGCCACCACTGCCAGCTGCGACATGGGATCTAAAGAGATGGAAACCGTGAACAGCAAGACAACATCTTCGACAGCTACATCTTCAGCTTCTGGTTCAGAACCAGCAACACCCGTCTCAGAGAGCAGTGCTGGATCAGGCACCATGCGGCCGAAGAATCTCCGCACAGGTACCACCAACACCTCCACTACTGCCCGCTCCAACATGGGCTCCGACCTTACGGGAACCGTGCAGAGCTCCAACAAAAGCCAAGCCGCCATCTCCTCTACACTGATGCCTCTTTGCTCCAGCCCTCTCAGTGAAACGAGCGAGACGAGCACCACAAACACTTCAACTGTGTCCAGTGGCATCCAGCAGGTCTGCTCAAATTCTCCCTGTGAAACACATGAGACAGGCACGACCAATACGGCTACGCAGTCAAGCTCCAGTATGGACAGTGGGCAAACCAACATTGTGCAGAGGGTGTGTTCCAATCCGCCCTGTGAAACTCATGAAACGGGCACCACAAACACGCCGACCCAGGCCTCATCTTCTATTGGTGCTGGACAGAACGGCACAGTTCAGAGGGTGTGTTCCAATCCACCCTGTGAAACTCATGAAACAGGCACAACCAACACGCCAACCCAGGCCTCATCTTCTATTGGTGCTGGACAGAACGGCACAGTTCAGAGGGTATGTTCCAATCTGCCCTGTGAAACTCATGAGACCGGCACCACCAACACGCCGACCCAGGCCTCGTCTTCTATTGGTGCTGGACAGAACGGCACAGTTCAGAGGGTATGTTCCAATCCGCCCTGTGAAACTCATGAGACCGGCACCACCAACACGCCGACCCAGGCCTCGTCTTCTATTGGTGCTGGACAGAACGGCTCAGTTCAGAGAGTGTGTTCCAATCCACCTTGTGAAACTCATGAGACCGGCACAACCAACACAGCCACCACAGCTACAAGCAGCTTAGAAACTGGAGAAGGAACAGGTATTTATCTCTACAGCACCTAAACATTATTTGTGTGTAAATATTAGGGGTACCTCGCGATACGATACAAATCACGATACATGGCTCACGATGTGATATCATGATGCATCGATTCTGCGATAATCGATATATTGCTAGACAATCCTATAACGATACATCACAATATCTGTAACTATGAAAACAAAATGCCTGTGAAAAGATTACGTGCAAGCTTTCTCTCTTTAGACAAGTCCAAACTGTTAGAAAACAGCACAAAAGTTCTGAAAATCAAATTTAACATGCTAAGTAAATTAATCATTTTATTCTTGGACTTATTAAAAGCTTACACTTTTCTTTGTGTGTAAACCAACACATTCAACTGCTTATCAACTTTATATATAGCCTATATATATATATATATTAACCTGGTACATTTCAAAATTTACCTGGAGTGTTTTCTCAACCTTTCCTCTCATCATAAAAACGGAGCCCCACACACATGACATGCAGGGAAAAAATAGCTATTCACATCGCCTCTTCTGCGCTCTCAGGTTCGTTATTTCAAATGTAGACGCGCGACAAGCACACACACACTGCACACTTCTGCGCCGCATTACGGCACTGACTAGGTTTTGTTTCGTCGCCCATGCCATAGGTGCAGATTTATGCTTCTGCCAGTCGGTGCCCACTGCATAACGCGCACTTGCAATAAAGAAGCGCCGGTGGCACTCTCTCACTTAAGGTTAGTGAGGGAAATCCACCTGCGATCCGAGCGGATTGGTTAGGCTACTCATGGACTGATTATGCGCTCTGCAGTAATGTGATCGGTGCCTATGGTCCACGCTGATAGCTGTTCCGTGGCAGTTTTTTAGTTCTCATTTCCACTCCAGTGGCAACCTGTGAAGCTCTGGTGAACTCCATGCCCAAGAGGGTTAAGGGAGTGCTGGAAAATAATGGTGGCCACACAAAATATTGACACTTTGGGCCCAATTTGGACATATTCACTTAGGGGTGTACTCACTTTTGTGGCCAGCGGTTTAGACAGTGTTGAGTTATTTTGATGTATACTTTACATTGTAGCAAAGTGTCATTTCTTCAGTGTTGTCACATGAAAAGATATAATAAAATATTTACAAAAATGTGAGGGGTGGGAAGAATTTTTTTTTTGCGTTCTCTCGCAAAACCAGTTGAGTTCGGACAAACACTTCCTGTTTACTTTACAGTTTGTAAGTTAGTGGTTCATACAGCTCATACGTTAATAATGGAGCAGTTCATAGAGTTTTATTTTAAACTTGGACCCAAGTTCAAATACAGTCAGCTTTGCTTATAGTTTAAGGCACGGTTTTGGGACATTCTAAAACGATTAATGTAGGCTACTATAACAGTGACACTGGAGGCTCAATTCGGTATTAGGCCTAATAAATACTATTAATACTAATAACAATTGTAATATTAATGACCTTATTAATAGCATTACTATCAGTAAAGCAGATAGCCATAATGCAACGTTTCTCCCCCATTTAAAACCGTTAGGCTATAGAAAACGCTTAAGGGAGGCTAATGGACGAAGACAGTATAGGCTAAAACCAAAATAGGGTACACAGTTTATTAATAAAATATAGCCTATTATGCACAGGACAGCAGACAAGCCCAGAATAGCTATAAACAAGCCAAACCCTAATTTAAAGTGAAACCGAAAGTATGGGCTCACGTACCGCTCTCATTCAGCACAAATCCAAATGTTTCCATATTCGCAATGTATTTAGAAGCCTAACCATTATCTATTAAATTAACTGGGCTTTGTACGTTCCAATATCGAAGGGAAAAAAAATCATAATGAACAAAAATGTGCCGCACTTGAGTGGACCGGGGCTCACACTGTACGGCACAGACTATAATACAGATTATTTAAATTGACTGTGTAACATTTAGTCTGTATTGGTGATTCTATGTTTCATTTTAATAATGAACAGGCCGTTTGCAATGAATATGTGCGCATGAGGCACCGGCGCGATCAAATCGCTGAAACATAAAATACTCCGTCACTTACTGTAGGGCATAATTCGATAGCAGTTTGAAGATTCAATCATATAAAAGATTATTAGAATTTTTATAAAGCGAGCACTGTTATGTTCTTCTTATTTCACTCTGAAACCTACAAGAATGCAATTTTCTCTGAATATCCAAAAGACTGCAAATGTGACATTGATTTTATATAACAGTTCAACAAAAAAGGCAGTATTAAGTGTACATTTTACATTTTAAATACAATATTGTTTATTATATTTTACAAGGACATAATAGTTCCAACGAAATCCGCAACAGAACTGGTGTGCGTCTCCAAGCAACAGCAGTGTTTTGTTAGTGAATGTATCTGCAGCTTTGAATGATTCGGAGAGTACTGATAATCAGAACTGATTAATAACCCTTTCATAACTACAACCATTTGCTTCGTTACTGAATGAATGAATGCTTCGCCTTGCTCATTAGACAGTAACTTGCTGCCACCTACTGGTGATTTTAGTTTTGAATCTACAAGTATAACTTTGTTTTGCCATTTATTGCTTTATTTATTATATTAATAATACACTTAATGAAATGTGAAGAATATGACATAAAGCATGACATACAATTAATAAGGCTAGAAAAACTTTGCCTCTGTAACAGTAAAAATGCAAATCAATTTAAGGGGACAAATATTGTCCCTTAATGGAAAAGGCGTGACTGCGGTCTAAGTGTGGGGGTACTTAAAAGAATGTTAGGCTAAATGCCCTAGGGGGGAAACGCAAATGTTTTGCGAGAGAACGCAAATATCTTTGCGAGAGAACGCAAAAGTTTCTTGAGGGAATGCAAAAGTTTTGCCAGAGAATGCAAAAAATCTGAAAAATATTTTTTCCTCCCACCCCAAATTTTTTCACTCAATCTGATTTTTTTTTCCCACCACCATGTCCCTTTAGGGGCTCCGCAGTAGAGCTAATACAGTGGCTGGAAATCTGTTTATCCTTCGGTTCCTCGTGCTTCCCCATCTTCATAGAGAACGCGGTTCATGGTTGCTCAGAGCGGTTTGGAAAGAAGGAAATGGTGCGACCGCGATTTCCACACATTTTTAGATGCTGGGAGCAGGGAAATCTATATAGAGCGCCTTATTGTAATAATTAAAATATCGATATTTGGCGCCATATTTTTGTTTCAATTAGCAAAGGTTTTTAATCCACTCATGTTTTCATCTGTTATATATTCTGTATATGTATGTATATGTATGTGTATATATATATATATATATATATATATATATAT